TTGCGGAGGCCATTGGGGTCAAGCGGGCTCGGTCGTGCTCCTGAGCTGGACGCTGGCTTGGAGGGTCCTCCTCCAGGCAGCGGCGTCGAAGAGCAGTCCAGCTTGGATGCCTTCCTGAGGTGCAACATCATGGACCACGACTGGGAGCAGGCCACGGGCTTCGCTGCGCCAGTCCTGCGCGACGACCTTCTGTTCGACTCGATGCAGTTTCGCCAGCGTGGCGGGACTTTGATGGAGTTGGACGAGAAGGATTGGCCCGTGCTCGGTTCCGCTTTGGCGAGGAGCACGTCTTCGCATCGTTTGGGCAAGGGAGGGAGGGATTCAGCCCCTCGTAGTCACACCCCCTTGCCCGCATCACCGATGGCTTCCAGTTCGAGCACGGTGGCTTCGGCATCCTCGATGATCCCCCAACTGGCCCGCTCCTCGGGGTTGGGGGCAAAGGCAGCGCAGAGGCGTATTCCCCAACTGGCCCGCTCTTCGGGGTTGGGGACATGTACGGCACAGAGGCCACCGCCCCAACTGGCCCGCTCCTCGGGGTTGGGGACAGCTCCTACAGTGGGCGGACAAAATATCGCAAGTTATATGATCGTTCCGAGAAACAAGATGACAATTTTGATCATATTCCATCGATGTCCGAGGAGCTCCCCTTCCCCCGTATTTCAATGTTGACTTGCATTATTTTGTCCGCCCGGACTTGGGGTGCTCGCTCGATGCCAACATTGAAATTTAGGGGGCGGGGGCGTTTTGTCGAGGTGGCGTCGCAATGTAGGCGCGGCCGTACGCGGCCAGGAGCAACTTGCAACATTTCGTCGTCCCACCGATGGAAGCACAGACTTTTCTATGACTCGAAGTGCACGGCATCTAACAATCATGCACCTCGTCAGCCCCAGTTCCCAGCTCTCGAAGTCCTTGTCGCCAGCGCTGCGCCGGGCGTACTCCAGCAAGAAGCGCTTCCCGGTTCTGGGGGGCAGCGACTCCTTCGGGGCGCAGGAGCGCAGCGCAGACCAAGTTCGACAACTCCATCGAGGCGCTGCCTATTTCCGAGGCGCTCGCCAGACATCAGCCCGTTTAATTGCGGCTTCTGGGGTTGCGTCAACCGCCGCCTCCGCAAGCAGCAGGAGGCCCTCGTGCTCGCCTGGTAAGAGGAAAGCCAGGGCCCATTTCGCGGCGCGCCTCAGGCGGGCTCTCCAGCGCGTGCCCGAGGCCATCTTGACTCCTCTGGTGGAGTCCATGGGCCGGCGCTGCAAGGCCCTCCAGCGCGTAAAGGGGAAGGACTTCGAGGAGCGATGCCCTGCGCGCCCCGCGCGGCTGCCGACGCCGCGAACACGCGGCCTTCCGCCGGCGGCCCGCCGCCGAGGACACGGGGAACATGCGAAGTTCATGCCCAGTCGCCGCGGTGGGGCGCCGGGACTTCGGGCCAGCCGCCCACCAGCCATATGAGTATAATTTCGTGAGTTGTATTTTTCCCGACTGGCAGCCGATCTTGACGCGCGCTCGCAATGGCCTTCCCTGAGTAAACATCCTGTCGCAGGGCCCTTTTGCCCATCTAATCGCTGGCGTGCTCAGCCGAGGCCTGTCGGCTCATCCGCGGTGGGCGCCCGACGGGCATGAGTTGGTGCGGAGTGACGGTGACCTCCTGTCAGCTATTTCCAGGCCGGCGCCAGGGCCGCGATCGGGCTGCGCCTGGAGCGCGAGCGGCCGCCCCTGGGCCGCGCGGCGGACTTGCGCGGGCTCGGCGCGGCAGGCTCTGCCTGGGCGATGCTGGCGCGTGGCCTGCTCAGAGCAGCGGGCGGCGACAGGGCGGCCCCGCGCCCGCCGCGCTTGCATTTGCCTCATTTGAAAACTCCAGTGCTATTTGAATACCTATTTGAATACCTATTTGAATACCTATATGAAAACTGCAGCTATATGGGGATTTGCATTTGCTACGCGCGAATAGTAGAGTTAAAAAGAATGTATTTTCTTTCTTTTTATTTTCAAGTTTCAAATCGGTTCCCCCCCATATAACTGAGGTTTTCAAATAGGTATTCAAATAGGTATTCAAATAGGTATTCAAATAGTATTCCAATGTACTGGGAGTATTCAAATAGGCCAGATGCAGGCGCCGCGCGCGCCCCGCCACCCCGTCGTCGCCTGGCGCGCCCTGCCCCGCTGCGCGGCCGCGTGCCAGCGCTAGGCGACGTTCGGCACAAAGCCTGGGCAGTGCCCAGCGCAGCCATGGGTGCGCCTGGCGATGCGATCGCAGCGAGGGCCGCGCATGTCCTCGTCGCGGCCCACGATCGGCCTGGCGCGGGCCAGGCGCGACGCGGGCTCGGCGCTGCTCGCCGGGCGAAGGCGAAGCCCAGCATATATATATATATATATATATATATATATTGTTCTGTTTTGCTTGCGCAGCGGAGGCAGCCCAGCGCAGCCCAGCTCAGGTCTGCGCGGCCCAATCCCCCCGAGCTCAATATCTGGCAGTCCCGTCCAGGTCAGCCCTGCGCAGGTGCGTCCAGGTCAGCCCAACTCGAACCAGTTGGGTCCAGCTCAGACATCAGCGAGGCGTGAACCCTTCGGTCCAGTGGCGGCTCGGCTCCGGCTCGCACCCTGTTCGAAGCTCGGCAGTCGACCTTCGACCGAACGTCGACCCTGTACCCTTGATCATCCTCGCCATCATCCTTCCCCCAGTTTTCCGAGTCCCCCGCCCTCCGCGTCAGCCTTCACCCTGCAGGGGGATGACAAACGCGATGGAAGCACAGACTTTTCTATGACTCGAAGTGCACGGCATCTAACAATCATGCACCTCGTCAGCCCCAGTTCCCAGCACTCGAAGTCCTTGTCGCCAGCGGTGCGCCGGGCGTACTCCAGCAAGAAGCGCTTCCCGGTTCTGGGGGGCAGCGACTCCTTCGGGGCGCAGGAGCGCAGCGCAGACAAAGTTCGACAATTCCATCGAGGCGCTGCCTTTTTCCGAGGCGCTCGCCAGACATCAGCCCGTTTAATTGCGGCTTCTGGGGTTGCGTCAACCGTCGCCTCCGCAAGCAGCAGGAGGCCCTCGTGCTCGCCTGGCAAGAAGAAAGCCAGGGCCCATTTCGCGGCGCGCCTCAGGCGGGCTCTCCAGCGCGTGCCCGTGGCCATCTTGACTCCTCTGGTGAAGTCCATGGGCCGGCGCTGCAAGGCCCTCCAGCGCGTGAAGGGGAAGGACTTCGAGGAGCGATGCCCTGCGCGCCCCGCGCGGCTGCCGACGCCGCGAACACGCGGCCTTCCGCCGGCGGCCCGCCGCCGAGGACACGGGGAACATGCGAAGTTCATGCCCAGTCGCCGCGGTGGGGCGCCGGGACTTCGGGCCAGCCGCCCACCAGCCATATGAGCATAATTTCTTGAGTTGTATTTTTCCCGACTGGCAGCCGATCTTGACGCGCGCTCGCAATGGCCTTCCCGGAGTAAACATCCTGTCGCAGGGCCCTTTTGCCCATCTAAGCGCTGGCGTGCTCAGCCGAGGCCTGTCGGCTCATCCGCGGTGGGCGCCCGACGGGCATGAGTTGGTGCGGAGTGACGTTGACCTCCTGTCCGCTATTTCCAGGCCGGCGCCAGGGCCGCGCTCGGGCTGCGCCTGGAGCGCGAGCGGCCGCCCCTGGGCCGCGCGGCGGACTTGCGCGGGCTCGGCGCGGCAGGCTCTGCCTGGGCGCTGCTGGCGCGTGGCCTGCTCAGAGCAGCGGGCGGCGACAGGGCGGCCCCGCGCCCGCCGCGCTTGCATTTGCCTCATTTGAAAACTCCAGTGCTATTTGAATACCTATTTGAATACCTATTTGAATACCTATTTGAATACCTATATGAAAACTGCAGCTATATGGGGATTTGCATTTGCTACGCGCGAATAGTAGAGTGAAAAAGAATGTATTTTCTTTCTTTCTATTTTCAAGTTTCAAATCGGTTCCCCCCCCTATAACTGAGGTATTCAAATAGGTATTCAAATAGGTATTCAAATAGTATTCCAATGTACTGGGAGTATTCAAATAGGCCAGATGCAGGCGCCGCGCGCGCCCCGCCACTCCGTCGTCGCCTGGCGCGCCCTGCCCCGCTGCGCGGCCGCGTGCCAGCACCGGGCGACTTTCGGCACAAAGCCTGGGCAGTGCCCAGCGCAGCCAAGGGTACGCCTGGCGATGCGATCGCAGCGAGGGCCGCGCATGTCCTCGTCGCGGCCCACGATCGGCCTGGCGCGGGCCAGGCGCGACGCGGCCCCCCAACACCCCCGCTCGGCGCTGCTCGCCGAGCGAAACAAAAAAAAAGAAGCGAAGCCAGCATATATATATATATATATATATTATTTATATTGTTTCTGGTTTGGCTGGCGCAGCGGAGGCCACCCCAGCGCAGCCCAGTCTCAGGATGGCCGCCGTCCAAATCCACCGAGCCTCAATAGATTGCAGTCCCGTCCAGGTCAGCCCTGCGCAGGTGCGCGCCAGGTCAGCGCCAACTCGAACCAGCTGGGTCCCAGCTCAGACATCAGCGAGGCGTGAAACCTTCCGTCCAGTGGCCGGCGCGCTCCGGCTCGCACCCTGTTTCGGAAGTCGGCAGTCCGACCGTCGACCGAACGTCCGACCCTGTACCCTTGAATTCTCCCGCCATCATCCTTCCCCCATTCTCCGATTCCCCCGCCCTCCGAGTCAGCCTTCACCCTGCAGGGGGATGACAAAGACGCAGTGGGCGGACAAAATATCGCAAGTTATATGATCGTTCCGAGAAACAAGATGACAATTTTGATCCTATTCCATCGATATCCGAAGAGCTCCCCTTCCCCCGTATTTCAATGTTGACTTGCATTTTTTTGTCCTCCCGGACTTGGGGTGCTCGCTCGATGCCAACATTGAAATTTAGGGGGCGGGGGCGTTTTGTCGAGGTGGCGTCGCAATGTAGGCGCGGCCGTACGCGGCCAGGATCAACTTGCAACATTTCGTCGTCCCACCGATGGAAGCACAGACTTTTCTATGACTCGAAGTGCACGGCATCTAACAATCATGCACCTCGTCAGCCCCAGTTCCCAGCGCTCGAAGTCCTTGTCGCCAGCGCTGCGCCGGGCGTACTCCAGCAAGAAGCGCTTCCCGGTTCTGGGGGGCAGCGACTCTTTCGGGGCGCAGGAGCGCAGCGCGGACCAAGTTCGACAATCTATCGAGGCGCTGCCGTTTTCCGAGGCGCTCGCCAGACATCAGCCCGTTTAATTGCGGCTTCTGGGGTTGCGTCAACCGTCGCCTCCGCAAGCAGCAGGAGGCCCTCGTGCTCGCCTGGCAAGAAGAAAGCCAGGGCCCATTTCGCGGCGCGCCTCAGGCGGGCTCTCCAGCGCGTGCCCGTGGCCATCTTGACTCCTCTGGTGAAGTCCATGGGCCGGCGCTGCAAGGCCCTCCAGCGCGTAATGGGGAAGGACTTCGAGGAGCGATGCCCTGCGCGCCCCGCGCGGCTGCCGACGCCGCGAACACGCGGCCTTCCGCTGGCGGCCCGCCGCCGAGGACGCGGGGACCATGCGAAGTTCATGCCCAGTCGCCGCGGTGGGGCGCCGGGACTTCGGGCCAGCCGCCCACCAGCCATATGAGTATAATTTCTTGAGTTGTATTTTTCCCGACTGGCAGCCGATCTTGACGCGCGCTCGCAATGGCCTTCCCTGAGTAAACATCCTGTCGCAGGGCCCTTTTGCCCATCTAAGCGCTGGCGTGCTCAGCCGAGGCCTGTCGGCTCATCCGCGGTGGGCGCCCGACGGGCATGAGTTGGTGCGGAGTGACGGTGACCTCCTGTCAGCTATTTCCAGGCCGGCGCCAGGGCCGCGCTCGGGCTGCGCCTGGAGCGCGAGCGGCCGCCCCTGGGCCGCGCGGCGGACTTGCGCGGGCTCGGCGCGGCAGGCTCTGCCTGGGTGATGCTGGCGCGTGGCCTGCTCAGAGCAGCGGGCGGCGACAGGGCGGCCCCGCGCCCGCCGCGCTTGCATTTTCCTCATTTGAAAACTCCAGTGCTATTTGAATACCTATTTGAATACCTATTTGAATACCTATATGAAAACTGCAGCTATATGGGGATTTGCATTTGCTACGCGCGAATAGTGGAGTTAAAAAGAATGTATTTTCTTTCTTTCTATTTTCAAGTTTCAAATCGGTTCCCCCATATAATTGAGGTTTTCAAATAGGTGTTCAAATAGGTATTCAAATAGGTATTCAAATAGTATTCCAATGTACTGGGAGTATTCAAATAGGCCAGATGCAGGCGCCGCGCGCGCCACCCCGTCGTCGCCTGGCTTGCCCTGCCCCGCTGCGCGGCCGCGTGCCAGCGCCGGGCGACGTTCGGCACAAAGCCTGGGCAGTGCCCGGCGCAGCCATGGGTGCGCCTGGCGATGTGA